CCATCCTGTCTATAGTCTTCAGAGAGTTTACAAAGGGTTATTTCAAATGGTCTACCTGTTAAGTATACTAACTTGAAGCTTCCAAAGTCATTGGGAAGGTAGCCAAGAGAGTTAGATGTCCTATGAAACTATCCCGAGCAAGACAGAAATGGTTGGGCACATTTCTTACCACCTAATGCCACTGTTCACCTAGCAGTAAATAGGTGCCTAGGAGTTAGTCAGGTTGTTGTGGGATTGCCTGACCCTGGGTGGGGGGGGACTTCAATATAAGCCTAACATGTACCGTATGTATAAAATGGCTGCCTGTCCCCCAACACGACGAATTCGTATAATTATTATTTAAATCTTTTTGAAATACCTGATATTGCACGAAAATTTCACACAAATTTTAGAAACCTCACTTACCCTTTCCCATGTGGTGATGATGATTGTCCCTAAGTTCATAATTTATACCAGAGACTTACTACTGTAATGCTATTTGCTGTACAGTACCAGAAAATGTTTACATTTAATTACCGTATATTGAACTGATATAGATAAAATTTTTGTATATAACATATAACTTTTCTTTCTACACAGGTGGATACAGAAGACGACTTCTGACTCCTGTTAGCTGGCTGAGAGCACTCCCTTCCCATATCTCACGGTAAACTTTACCCACTAGTTTTCTCCTGGAAGTCGACCCACAAATTAGCTAACAATAAAGTCAAGATCATGTCTCTTACTGATGGCTGACCAGAGGCAAACAGTTAAGAATTGGTGCCTAGTCAATTCTCCCAGGTCATGATACAAACCCAGACCAGATCGTGTGGGAAGTGCAGGGCAAGTGTGTTACAACTGTGTCACCAGGGATTTTAACAGGGTCACTTAAAATTCCTACCCAAAGCTCCACAGTAGTAGTACCAAAGGATTAAGTAGAGTGCCACGGATTCAGTGCACAGAACGGTGTATCCCAGTTACTCGTGTGTAATTACCCAAGTGTAGTTACAGGACAGTTAACACAGTTACTCGTGTAATTACCTAAATGTAATTACCTAAGTGTACTTACAGGATGAGAGCTACGCTCGTGGTGTCCCGTCTTCCCAGCACTCTTTGTCATATAACGCTTTGAAACTACTGCGCGCGTGCGTGTGTGTGTGTGTGTCGAGTGGAAAGGACTAGTTAAGCTTGGTACTATCCTAAGAGCCATGATAAAGAAGTTAGTTTTAACCATGCGGGTTCAGTGTACCAGGGTCGAGGCGGTGTGACGTCACCTTGCCCCAGGGCGGCAACGCTTGTACTCGCCTAGTTGTGCTTGCGGGGGTCGCGCTCTGGTTCATCCTCTCAACTGGTTATCTTGAGGTTATCTTGAGATGATTTCGGGGCTTTAGTGTCCCCGCGGCCCGGTCCTCGACCAGGCCTCCACCCCCAGGAAGCAGCCCGTGACAGCTGACTAACTCCCAGGTACCTATTTACTGCTAGGTAACAGGGGCATTCAGGGTGAAAGAAACTTTGCCCATTTGTTTCTGCCTCGTGCGGGAATCGAACCCGCGCCACAGAATTACGAGTCCTGCGCGCTATCCACCAGGCTACGAGGCCCCCCTACTGGTCCTACCTCTCAACTGTCTATCTACTGGTGTACAGATTCCAAAGCTTCTCGAGCTCCATCATATCTACATTTGGAACTGTACTCACCTAGTTGTACTCACCAAGTTGTACTACCCTCCCTAGTTGTGTTTGTGAGGGCTCTGGCTCTTTGGGCCTGCCTCTCAACTGTCAATCATTTTTTTTTTCACACACACCCAGGAAGCAGCCTGTAGCAGCTGTCTAACTCCCAGGTACCTATTTACTGTTAGATGAACAGGAACATCAGGGTGAAAGAAACTCTGCCCATCTTTAAAACTGTGCAATAATGATCCAATTTTAAATGCTTCTTTAAGGGGCTGTATCAGAACCACCCATAGACACCATATGAAAAATAATTATCCAATTGATATTCCAAGATTGACTCAGAGTGAAAATGCCATGGAAATAAAGGGTCCTAAACTGTGGAATGGCCTTTGTGAGATTTCACTAGTTTTTCCCGACTGCTTCTGCTTACAGAAGTCACCTTGGGTGCATTAGGCAGACTCCCTTGCGTGGGCTAGAACTATCAGGTATTCATGAATTGCCTGAAGCAGCAGGCCTCACTTTCCCAAGTATTCTCTGCTGAGTTATGACTCCTCAGTGGGTGGCCTACTCAAGACACAGGCATACCTATAGGTTTGTGAGCTACGTTGGTCATGCCATTCACCCTGTGCATGAAGTACAGTGAATGGTAAAGGCTCACATGAATTTATTTGAAAATTGATGAGTGCTAGCATGGGGTCATGTGGATTAAGTAACAGTCTACCTGTCAACACTAATTAATAGCTGTCAGCTTGTCTCACACATAGCATGCACACATCCTCAACTCACTCACTCTCAGTCAATTCCCTTTCACTCACATTCACACTGAACTATCATTCTTTCACACACTTTTTCACTCACAATGAAAGTGCTATGGTTATTAGAATGATTATTATTTACTTGATTTACCTGAGGGCCACTAACCGTAATGGCCTCAATGAGGACAGGAAGCCGGCAGCTTGTCGAAGGTCCGCCCCACCCCCCAATAATTAGTATATTATTACTAATACTCCATACTAAACCATTATTCTGTGCTTTTAGACCAAAAAATGCATATTTATGTCTTAATAACTTCTAATGTAAAATAGCTGTAAATTTCTTTGTGCATTACTAATCAGCATTCACTGCTGAGACCATTATTTTGTGGATTTGCCAGGAGTGGACTTAGTTGTACTATGATCATTATAATGGTCATTAAGTGTTACTAATTTACTATTTCATGACTTGCAAATCTCTGTGACTAGCAAAGCATTGTTTTTTTCAGTTCAAACATCTTAAAAATAAAGTTAAGTACACGTATCAGCATCAGTTAATACACCAGCATCAGTATTGGCCATAATTTTGGTATAGGTACAGCTCTAATATAAATTGCCTACCCCAAAACAAATTATTCTTTATCTGAATTGTAAAGTATATGTAAAGCTTTAGTATAATAAAATCACAAGAACACAATGTACAGTATCTGAGAAAATATTGAGGCCATATGATGGAATCAAACTTGCATTCCATCTTGGGATTCCAGAGATAGGGGTTGGATTAGATCATATGGTCTCAATGTTTTCTTAAAGATTTAGTAGCTTGCTAAACTACTATCTAGGGAAGAACCAGTAAGTTTCAGACAAATGAATGTTTTGCAAAAGTCCCTCCAGCCAAATTATTCATCCTAGGCTAAAGCCAACATATAGCACCTGAGTACTGTATGTTATGTAAGGTAAGTATGCCCCATGACGAAGCGGTAACACACTCGCCTGGCATTTCGCGAGCGCTTTGGCCTGTATTCATATCCTGGCCGGGGAGGATTTACTTGGCACCAATCCTTAACTGTAGCCTCTGTTCACCCCAACAGTGAATGGGTACCTGGTTGTTTAACGATTTGGCAGATCATATTCTGGGGAAAATTAAGATTAAGGACTTTTCCAAAATGCTTTGCATGCTAGTGGCTGTACAAGAATGCAAGAACTCTTATATATATATAAAATAAATAAATAAATAAAAAATTATGATGAAGTCTTGGAGCTACCTCCACTAATTTCTGGAGAGATGAATTTTTGTTTTTGTGTACATCCCATCTATTTTTTGCAATGCATAATTTGTAGTTTATGGTATTGTACTTGAAATAAAAGATGGCAGGAGACCGGACACAAAATTGGCCCCTATTTTTGGTCTCTTTGACATCAAAATCAAATATTTCCAGATGAATTTGGGCTGGAGGGGTAGAATGACGGTCTCGCTTCATGTAGGTTGGCGTTCAATCCCCAACCGTCCAAGTGATTGGACACCATTCCTCCCCCCCCCCCTTATCGCAATTCCTTATCCTGATCCCTTCCCAGTGCTATATATTCGTCATGGCTTCGTGCTTTCCCCGTATAGTTCCCTCCCTTCCCTCCAGATGAATTAAAAATCCCCCCAACTCATGCTAAACACAACATCCCTCCTTGCATATTACCATCAGACTAACAGTATGTGGTGCCTGAGAAATGAGTCACAGAACGTGGGTGTCTCGTCTGAGTCTTTAACTGTGTGGGGGGGAAAAGTTAAAATAAAAGATGCCACCATACTGTATGAAAACACCACTAAAGAGTTTTGCACATACACTAAACTGAAAGAGGTTAGAGAAACTTTAGTGGAATGCCACCAGCCTAGTCTTAAGAGTTGAGAGGTATGAGTTGTGTTGAAATTTACATTAAAAAAAAAGTTAAACTTCACATTACTGGAAGAGAATAAACAGGGAAGACATCAATATTTAACTTGGGTGGCACACAAACAATGGGACACAAGTGAAAACTAAGCATATAAGATTAAAAATACATTTTTCAGTGTTAAAGTAATGAACAAGTGTTAAGCACTAAGAACTGAAGTGATGGAGGCAGACTTTTACACAGCTTCAAAGGTAGGAAAGACCTTTGTAAGAAGTATGACTAAAAAGCTCAACCCTTGCAAACACAATTATGTGAGCATAGTGATCATGAAGAAAGTAAGTATTATGTTTGTTATTTGCAAGCATGCCAAGCATACATACAGTAGACTAAATGTACTAGTCTGCAGCATATAAACTAGGAAAACATGGCTAGGATTTGGGTAATGCCAGATTAAATTAATGTAATTAAAAAAATCTTTAAACGAATTAGGCCAATAATATAATGGTCAATAATTCCTTTGATTTTTCACATTTAATTCCATTAAATTAATTAGAGATGTAGGGTAGTCCTATGTACAAGTATTGAATTGTATCGACAAAGGTATATGGCACTACAAGTGTTTGGTGAGGAAAATTGTTAATAAGCTACAGTAAAGCTACAGGGAATCTAAACCATTGTCTGTGGGAGCAAACACGCTGAATCATCAATTCTTACCTTTGCTGTTAGCGCTCAACTAACCGTAGCTTGCTATTGAGTCTTCTAAGGGACATGATCTTCGAATGGCTTCTTTATCTTGATATTTCCACTGACATTACTGAAGCATTATGGTCCTGACGTAAAATATTGGTGACAATTAGTCCATTTTGTCATTGGCAGCCATCCTAACACGGGTAAATATGCTGACTTCAACAAACTTGTTTACCGTAGAAAAATGAGAATTATGATATGTTATCGAAGCACCATACGGGCTGTAACTAGCAAAGCACAACATTGGTCAAAAACGTATAAAAATAGTGGAGCAACTTGTGGTAATTGTGATATTAGAGGAGCAGAGTCTGGCTCACGGGCCAGAGACGCCTCGACACGAAAACAAAGACGGGCATGGCTAGAGCTTCCCTGGCGGTGTCTGAGCTCTCTAGCTGTGTTTATGCTTACCCCTCACTAGGTACTGCATAGTGCGCTTATATCCATAGTCACTCGCTCTTGTGGTAGTGAGGAATTAACATGTATCCACCAAGTTATCTGACACAACAGTCTGCAATCAATAGATCTCTCAATGGCAGTTTCCTGATAGCAGACGACGCAGGGGCTGGACACAAGAGGATCGAGAGAGCGCTGACTAAGATGTTACAATGCCCTGTCTAGCCCTTCTGCTCCTCCTACACTACTGAATTCCCTCTACAGAAAGACCGCGAATTTAAATATAGATGATTGAATAATTTACAACTTGCGGGTGATATAAACTGTCAATATTACATAACCAAAAGGTCGGTTCCAAGATGTGCAAGAGGCAGGAGGCACTAACTTCTTAAAATATCTATTTATAAAGACAAATATTCATTGATTACATTACATAATATTAATTATATATATATATATATATATATATATATATATATATATATATATATATATATATATATATATATATATATATATATATATATATATATATATATATATATATAATGTGACGGTAAAGCGTTGGTGTTCGGCCGTTTCAAAAGCTAGGGGCAGGGCCTCGTCACATTAGAGAAAAAAAAAAGAGAAAAGCTGGAACTTTCGTCTGTGGTAAGGTAATGGGAAGACACACAAAACACAAGTAAATTTAACAATGAAATTTTAATTACTTTACAAAAACAAGACATGAATAAAGTTAAGCACATAAAATATAACAGACAAGTCAACAAACAAAATAATATGAATAATCACTGGCAAATGAAAAGTTACGTTAAGACAAGAGAGTTACAGTGATAGCAAAATAAATATGAATGGAGCTGGAATATTGGCTTCGAGCTGCCACCTCCCTTAGTACACGAAAGCCAAGGCCTAGTCTACCAGCGAGAGATGTCAACTGCAAGGAGCACTGAGATATTCTGACAATACTGGGCCACTGCAGCCCAGACATCAACTTGTGGCAGAGGGCGGAGGGCACGTGCGACGGGACACCAGCCAATCAGCGACAGGCAGGCAATGGACAAGCAGTTTGCTGGTTTACGGTGGCGGTAGGTAGCAGGTGTGCCGGTGTGCTGGATACGTTTTGCTCTCTGGGCAAAACGTTTTGGAGATACTTGCTGTACGTATCTTCTATATTATCTTTTCTTTTTACGTACTTTGTAGGGAAGAGCAGGCTCAATCTCTCTTGAAAGAGATTATCGTCACAATATATAACACTTGTTCCCTTGTAACTTGTAACTCACTTGTTCCCTTGTAACTTGTAACTCACATGTAACACTTATATGCTGTTTCCTATTTTAACCTGCTATGTTAAATAGGATTCTTGTATTGTGATTTGTGTATTTGTACTCACTGAATTTATGCGCCCCTTGAGGGACTTGAAGTAGAAGGGGGGGGTAGAAATAGTCTAAGCTACTCTATCATATCCCTTTGAGATGTATTTTTTGGCTGTATTGTCTCAATAAACATACTTGAACTTGAAGTGGACGTTAATGTTTTTTTCGGCAGCTTTATTTCCTTAGTTTCCGAGCTGTTTTCTTTACCGTGTATGTTGTAATAAACTATTCCTATATTTACAGTTGTTTTTCCATGTGAAGATTATTAAACGATGGTGATTATAAGGGCGCGGAAGTTCAGCCTGGCCAGGGCCGCCAGCAGCCCTGGGCCCGCCTCGGCAGCTCCCAGTCTTTAATTTGGCACCTTTGTGGCACCTTTGTAGGGACCTTGGTATAAGCCTAACATATATATATACACTGGCTGCCTGTCCCCCTACACAATGATTTATTATTACCTATTATTTTATCATTTAATTTAAATATTAAATAAAATAATTTATTTAATTATTATAGAAAGTACTAAATAATTTAATAATAAGTAGTAAGTACATAAAAGTTATTAAAAAGTACAGTTTAGTCATAGGAGATTCCTAGATTGGAATTCACTACCAAATTTCAATATATCCAAGTATTTTTAGTGTGAAATGCTGTTATTATATGCATAAATTGTTGTTTAATAATATTACGCTTAACCACTTGCGCTGGACGGTAGAGCGACGGTCTCGTTTCCTACAGGTCCGCGTTCAATCCCCGACCGCCCAAGAGGTTGGGCACCATTCCTTTCCCCCGTTCCATCCCAAATCCGTATCCTGATCCCTTCCGAGTGCTATATAGTCGTAATGGCTTGGCGCTTTCATTTGATAGTCCCCCCCCCCCATGAATAATATTACGAAAGCAGTATTTACGGGCTATTCATGCTCGTGCCACCTCTTGGGTGGCTTAATCTTCATCAATCGAGAGCAGTACGTCCTAACCAGACATTATATGATGATATCCTGAACAGTTGATAAATAAAAGTAATTGCGGAACTCCAGTTATCTAATAATTATCATAAATGGTATAAAACCTTATCATAAGCCAAGGGATTTGTAGATCAGTGTTTAAAGGGAATTCGGAAGTAATAATAATACAGCTGATGCCATCTGTCGGCAGAAGAGAACACTATCAACTGGCTGGTCAACAGTGGCCATAAGATACAGCTTACGCCATCTGTTGACATCAAATTACACTTATAACAAATTACCCTACAAAATACAACTAGCGCCATCTCTTTTTTTTCCAACGCACTATAAATAGCCAAACAGCAACCCATAAGGCAGGTTGTTGCGCTCGGGTAGGAGGTTCCACGCTCCGCCCACAAGTGGTATGGGGTGCATAATAAATGGCATATCATTGGCAGATATTCTTTGTTGACATTCACACAACAGCCAATCACAGAAAGGGATCAGCTAAAGGCTCCATCCACTTAATAAATTATCTTTATTCAGCACACCATCCTTGCTTATGACATTCTGCTTCAACTTTAATCTACCTAAAAAGTGATATGCTAAGTATTTAAAAATATTAATATAGTGATAATTAAATACTGCAGAATGTAACGGGTGTTACAAAAACATGGGCTGGCTACCTAACTTGTGACGTCATCAGTGGGGGTAGCCTCACACAAATAATGATACGCTGCTCTGCCCTCTTATTCGAGTAAATTATTCAGTTAGATGGAGATTTCTGTCAGGTGCAAAACAGAAATTGTTGTTCTTTTTCACAACAACCTTGTTGTTGTGCACAAGGACCTATTTCTTAGTTAAAATTTTATTCAGCACGTTTCTGCCCGAAACGCTTTGCGTAATAGTGGCTTTAGGCATTGTATGTACTAGCTCTATCTATAAAGCCAACAAACTTTGTAAAATCTCTTTATGTATGTACCTTTGCCTAAATAAAAATTATTATTATTATTATTATTATTATTATTATTATTATAATTATTATTATTATATTATTATTATCATAAAAGAGTGTTGGTGTTCCCCGCAACAGCCAATCACAGGAAGGTATTTCTGGAAGCTGGGCCTCCTTATGGACTCAGCACATCGCTCTAGCTCATGGCTCTCTGTTTCATCTCTTGTATATACAAACTATGACTTTTTTCGATTACTGTTATCATTGATAATATGAGATATAAAAGTTTTTACACAAAATGGCTAAATTCTGCCATTAAATGAACTTTGTCTGGTATACATACAAACATTCACCAATTTATTACCATTCATCCATTATTAATTTCAAATGTAATGTATACTGTCTATTTTTTTCCTCTCGCCATTACTTGGTGCAATATATGAAAGTTGTCTATTTATTTATTGATCTATCTATTGTATTTATATTTACAGGTTTCTGTGCTTGGAGGAAAACTCTGCATTGAATTGGGACTAATTTATTAAATAATATTATTTAGTATTAATTAATATTTACAATTATTATTAATTACAATTATTTATAGCTTAGTTACTTTCATGTAACTCGCAATCGTACATTCTTAACCTTAATAGCTCAAATTAGCACATCTTGCTTTTAAATTAGCCAAAAAGTAGCAAGTAGCAAAATTAAAAATTTGGGAGCGCGGGGCTCTCAAAAGTAACACAATTCGCTATTTGTTGCCCAATCTGGCAACACAGGGGCCACCCAGTCTGCAGGCAGAGTTTATATAACCTTGGTTCGTTGTTCGCGCAGCTTGGGCGGTTAGACTCAGCTTTCAGACATACGTTTTCTTTTCCTCAGAAAACCCACCGCTTTTTTGGGAGAAGCAGTGTTCTTATCTTCCAGCGCCTCAGTGTAGCGATCCAGAGGGGAAATGTCCCCTGGATCGTGGGTTTCCTGCCCGACGTCGGAGGAGTTGAAGAAATCTACAGCCTCTAGACACTACTATGCTTCCCGTTATTCTCTTAATGTCAGTTTTTTTTTTTTTTTTTAGATATATACAAGAGTTGTTACATTCTTGTACAGCCACTAGTACGCGTAGCGTTTCGGGCAGGTCCTTGGAATACGATCCCCTGCCGCGAAGAATTGAAGTTTTGTAACCAATAGGATAATGTAACTGTGTAACCTTGTATAATAAAGTGTACAACATAAATAATACAAAAGGGGTGGTAGAAGGGGGAAAACTCATACGCATTTAGTTAAATGACAAGTCTTTATCTGAATGCTCTGTATTCCCTTCTCAGAGGCTTTAGGTCCCTACAATTGTGTTGAATATATTAATACAAAGTATTCTTAATACTGCATTTTATTAAGACATATATTTTACTAAGCCTGCATTTTATTACCCATTCATTTGATTAAGCATGCATTTTTACTACCATACAGTTTATTAAACATACATTTATATTACCATGCGTTTTATTAAGCATGCATTTTTAAGCATCTAGGGACTGTTCATGCTACGGGCTAAATATGCCTATATTTATATGCATATTTAGCATATAAATGCTAAATTGTAACAAGCTGGAACGTTGGAACAATATAATTGAGGGCAAAACCTTCAGTAGTTTCAAAGCGTTATACAACTGGGAAGACGGCCGGCCGAACCACGAGCATAACTACATCTCGTCCTGTAACTACACTTAAGTAATTACAGAGCCTTCAACCAAGCTGCACCTATGGAAAAAATTAGTAAGGCACGGGAGTACCACGTTCAGTTACGAGGGTTATGCCTCATCTACTTATTTTCTCAACAACTATATATCTATTAACATTTGTTAATTATTGCATTATTTCTAATTGATACAAAAATTGTCCCATTCAAACGAGTTTTCCTGAGCTGAAGAAATATGGACGGTAGAGCGGCGGTCTGGTTTCATGCAGGTCGGCGTTCAATCTCCGAACGTCCAAGTGGTTGGGCACCATTTCTCCCTCCCCCTTCCTCCGTCCCATCCCAAATCCTTATCCTGATCCCTTCCCAGTGCTATAAACGTAGTCGAAATGGTTTGGCTCTAATACGATTCGGTTACAGCCCCGCTCTTGTGCCAGGTAAGTCCACTACGGGCTCACCATAGCCCGTGCTACTTGAAACTTTGTTTCCAGTAGCTGAATCTTAAACAGCAGCAGCAGCAGCTTGGCGCTTTCTCATTATAGTTCCCTTCCCTTCCCATATTCAGGGACAGGAATCCTTATCAATAGGCTTACCGAGTGAGGAGGGTAATATATTGCAATTAAAGCATAAAGAGAGTACGGGAGCGGGCGTTAACGCTTAATTTACGAATTAAAAACGAAGTTCTGAACACTATAAAATCAGTTGTCGTTTTAGATTCAGCCACTTGGAACAAAAAGTTCTAAGTAGATGAGCCCGTTGTGGACTTACCTGGCACAGGAACGGGGTTGTAACTGTTGTATAAAATTCATTGATTAATAAAGATTAGGCCACCCAAGAGGTGGCACGGGCATGACTAGCCCGTAAGTGGTTGATTTTTTTGAGTGAATGTGATCTTTTGTTCGTGAAGTATAAAATCAAATAAATTCTTATTTATACAGTTCATTTTCTGTTATTGAGGTGAGGCGGCGGCGGACAGTAAGCGACCACTGCCAGTCTCGCCCATAAACAGTAAACATCGTGCCGTGACCGGAAACTTGACACAGCAACATGTGTTGCTGGCACGATTTTTTCAGGAGGACACATAGGTACTTATGACAAGAAATGTATTAATCATCTCCATTTGTTGTACTGTAGCGTGTTTTCGGAACAATTGTTGCGAGTGTCGTGAAAAAGACTTCTGATTGTAATGGTTGAGTTTTTCATCCAGATTTACCCATTGCAGAATTAAGAATAATATCTAGATTTTGTTATCCAGGCATTACCAGTATTGTATTTTGAATCCTAAATTAAATTGTGAAAAATTTCTTCGTTTTAAAGATCACCAGCTTTTGCTGGTTTCACCATATGATGAAATAGCATTCCCAAATTTAATCTGTCCCATCCTCATACTGTGCATATCTGTACTCAATTAAAGGTCAGTCAATTATGGAGAGTGTGCAGTACTTTCTCATGTATAAAGAATTGTGTAAATAATGAATCATTATGTAATATAAGAACTGTAATAATGTAAGAAACAAGCTTATTAAGTTGGGTAAAAGACACATCACACACATAATACACAAAATTTCCATCCATTCCACACACACAGAATTTGTATCTTTTGTATGTAAATTATATTGCTTAATACTAAAACTACAATATAATATTGACAGGTAAAATCTTCTACTTAGCATGCAAATAGTTATTGATTAAAATGTAGTGGTGTGATATACATAACCTGACCTTCAGTAAAACAACATATAACACATTGTAATGTCTACAAACCTGATTTAAGGTAACTTAATCATTGTCAGTTATTGGTAAACTGTTATTGTATAATTTGTTAATTATCCATGTATATAATAATATGTATTAGAAGTAAACATTGAGTGTACTGTATAATATTAACTAAAAATACATCAGAAGCCACACAACCTATCCCAACATTTCTTATGTGTTAAACTCACTCACACTCTCTCTCTCTCTCCCCCCTCTCTCCCCCCCCTCTCTCTCTCTCCCCCCCTCTCTCTCTTCCCCCCTCTCTCTCTCCCCCCCTCCTCTCTCTCCCCCCCCTCTCTCTCTCCCCCCCCTCTCTCTCTCCCCCCCTCTCTCTCCCCCCTCTCTCTCTCCCCCCCC